AATTGGAGCGACAAAATAAGATTGCTGCATAAATGAAATGACAAAATTGCTATATTTTATCAAAAATCCAGTACATTTTGTAGACGCTAACCTGTAGTTGAGCTGCTGTTGTCGAAAGCGGTAACACAATCGCAGCCTCACTCAGTTCCTTGCCTTCTTCCGAGAAAAATCGCACACCAACAGCACATGCATTTCGTTCAACGTTGCCCAAATCCATATCTTATAAAATCTATTAAATGCGAAAAATCTCTTCTGATCTCGTGCAGGAAGCTGGCACCGTACTGCGACCCTCCAACAATTATTTGCTCCATTCGTGGATAAACAAACCCGCGCACAATTCTCTATTTCAATTTTGACAAAAAAGCTGGTACAAGTGTGTCTAGCACATTAAGAAACAATGAATTGCGGTCGTTAGAAGGGCGAATCATAATCTTAAAATAAGTGGGCGGTTCAAAGAAAATTCAGAATGTGAAACGGTGGGAGTCAGAATGTCAAAACAAAGGGTGGAAATAGTTTATTAAAACAAACTTGTTAAACAATTAAAGAGTCCAACTGTTGTTTTCCCGCTCTCTAAGTAACTTTCGCAAAAAAAACCGTCGATAATTTTGCAGGCTAATAGTTGCTGTCACGGATATGCTATCATTCGACCTACTTCCGAATGTCTTTGTTCCGTCTAGACATTGAAATACTGAAGTAATTTCCAATCTAAAATGCAATAATTACTGAAATAACTTGCTTCAAGCTGAAACAAAACTGGCTGGGAAAAATACGCGAGGCGGTAAATATTCATTTGTAAGAGAAACATGCATAACAAAACAAGAAACAAAAAAAAAAAATGTAATCATTCCTCCATATCATCTTCTTCTAGCTTCGCCTTAGCCCATGTTTCTGCTTGCTTTACAATCTGCAACGCACACTTAGTTTTTTTCTTAAAATTTAACATCCCCTTGCACATATAATCTACTACACTTTTTTATGATTCTTGTTTAATTTAAATTTTAGTTGGTATGTGTTTATGTAAGATGAAAGGAAAAGCAGCTATCAAGAAAAAGCAGCTCATTTAAGACGGAACAATTAAACGTATACAGCGAAAGTCGCAAGTGAGTAGTGTGAATTCACCTACACGCTCAATGGAGCGGCGAGGGAGCAGAAAACTCAGAATCATGAAAAATGGAAGCGCCGACTGATGATGAGGCAAAGCATGATGGCAAGTAGCTAGCAAAATAACACCAAACATCCTGTTTTCCCAGTAAGAGTCAT